ACCAAAAATGTTAATGTTGAGATAAAGTTACGAGAGTATCAAATATTTTATTCTAATTGACATAGGAATTTATAAAAATCATTTTAACTAATTCAGAATGAAAATAAGCCAAGCCAAACAGACCATGCAATTTGAAAGATTCTAAAGATTCTGGAGCGTGTATGAAATGATTCATCATCTATTTATTTACAAGTCTTTCAAACACATCCTTGACCAATGAAGTCGGACACTTTAAAACACTACATGTTGAGTTAAAATTTGAAATAAACCAGTTTTTCTAAACATGGCAAATTAAAAAATACCTTAATGAATGATTTGGGGATTATACTTGTAAAAGCTACTCTAAGGCAAACATGACTTACTGGCTTATTTAATGTAATTTACCAAGTTCCTTGCAGTGTCTCACCTGTTCTTTTCTTGTGTCCCCATCCTGATACTACCTCCCTTATAATACCCAACAGTTGAAACAAGCCTTTAGTTACTTTTCTGATAAAAATCAGGAAAACTCAGCAAGCTTTCCCCAGTATTTGATCCTTTATGCCTCTTTGTCTCTTGTACAGCCTCTTTCCCAACCTCAGAAGAAAGAGGCCTCTTCTTGCTGCTGGGTCTGTCCCCTCCACCTGGCTTCTCATCCATCCCCACCATGAGGACCCTGTTCTATGAACCACCCATTTTTTTCTGGTGCCTTTTCTTTGGCATCAAATATTCTCTTCCATCCATAAAAGAAGCAGATGGGAAAGTCTTCCAAGAAGTCTTTCTTTACGTCTATTTATCCAGCCTCCCTTCTCCTGCTTCCACATTTTTGGAAATAAGCAGCTTTTTTTTTTTTTTTTTTTCATGAAGCCTTAATTTTTTCACAGCTCCATCTAACCCCATGGCATCTGGAAGCAGCCAGGGCATGCATCACTGCTGTTCTGATTTTGAAGAGCTCAGTCTCACCAAAACTTGGGCTTTGAAGGCCTCACAACAGTGTCCCCACTCCCCTGAGATCTGTGATCCCCACTTGCCAGTCATCAAACCACCCTGCTCTACTGACTTCTGCAGGGGGCTCCTCAAGGTTCTGAGTCTGGTCGCTCTTTCTTCTACTGATCCCTCCACAGTCCCCTGCCTAAAGCCCAGCCAGGATCAGGCTCCTTCAACACCCAAAGGCCTTCATGCCTCTCTTTTGCCTGCTGACCAGATGAAGCCCCTCTAGCCAGAGTAGGCTCTCCCATGATGACCTGGTCTCAGCCTCATCATCGTTCCACAACCCCTCACCACACCCTGCAATCAACCAACCTCAACTATTTCCACTGGCTGCCCTGGACTTTCCAACTTCTGTGCCTGGAATAACTTTCCTCATCCCCAGGAGAGCCAATCAGAATCAATCAGAACTTCAAAGACCAAATCATTACTCAGGCCTTGCCAGTCCAGAGCTTTTCCCTGAAGCTCTGGAAGCTTCTGTCTGAATCTCCTGGCATTGATCCTGTCCTTGGATTACCATCTTTCACAGGCTGCAGGTTCTTTAAAAGAGGCAGCCAGCGTGCTGACCTGGAAGAACCAGATGGACTTCGCTTTGAAGCCTCCTCTCACCTTTGTAGTGGCCACAACAGGTGACTTACCCTTTTTAATTGGTGACACCAGTTATCCCAGATAAAAGGCAAATATCCGTACTTCCTCATAGAATTGTGGTAAAAATTACAAAAGAGAGCAAATATGCATCTGGCACTTAAACATGTTTGTGGATTCTACGGTTTTATTTTTCTATCAGGGTCAAATTACTCAATTTAGGTTGGAGCTGTCTTATGATAACAAAACGGGATATTTTTTCACTTGTTTTCTTTCTTTTTTTTTGGATAGGCTATAGATTATACATGTAAACATTTGAAAATTCTTTGTCTATTCTTTGTTTTACTCTAGGAAAGCAGGAAAAAAAACTGTTGTGTTAATTATTTTTTCTTGAAATGAAGAGGGAGGGAGTGAGAAAAGGAAAAAAGTGAGAAATGAAGGGAGGTTGGTAGGGAGGCAGGAGAGATATTTACTGCTTTTTATATGAAAGATGTGGAATGTTATTCAACTGAAAACACAGAAGTACTTCCAAAACTCTGTATTTATAAAGCCCCATTCCTTCAGATTTCAAAAACACTGTAAACATAGGTCAGCCTGCAAATCAAATAAGTGTTTCTCATCTCCTCCCCACACTTCCTGAGGTAACCTGCTCACGCAGGACTGTACAGGAGCCTTCAGCCATCGCCTGTTTTCCTAACATGGCTTGGCAGGGAGTTGTGCACTTTGGCTCCAAAAGCCTGATTTCAAAGTGACCTGCCAAAGCGCCTCACAACTTAGCGCTGGGCATTCACTTGGCTGAGGAGGGCTGTGAGCCAGTTTGGGCTTTGGCTTTCTGCAGAAAAGTGTTATCCTAAGTAACCAGAGTAAAAGGAAGTGGGGAGGTTGGTTCTGATCATGCAAGTGAAGCTATTCAAGTTCATTATTTTCTAAGTTGCCCACAATGAAAACGGCAGCTGTAAAGGTGAGCAACATATCACAGGTCCTAACTTCTAGGACTCAATTCCCTTTTGGGGATGCTGAAGACTTTCCCCACAAAGAAACCTGCAATACTTCCAACATTCCACAGAGCTTGGCTTTGCATCCATCACCCCAAGAAATTCTAAGACCTTCAAAATGTATGCATCCCTGCAAACTGGATCGCTGTCACATACTCATCCCTAGTGTTTGGCAAAGTAGTCCCATGTCACTGACTTAATTGGTGGCAGGTTATTTTCCAGTTGTCAAATAATCTTTTCCTATTTAGGAGTCAGAAATAGAAACATTCACTCATAAAGGAATTGGATCATTTGGAACATGAACAATATAAGTATTTATTTGAAAAAACATTTTCCATTGAAGTAAATCCACACATTGGCTGCAGTAGCTTCTTCTATTTCCAAATTGTACTCACAGTCACTTTCATCCATCATGTTCAAAGGTATTGCTACAAAAAAACTGTCACAACTTTTTTTTTTAGAAAAAATATACACAGTCTCTCTAATAGAAAGTTAATTAAAACAATAAAACTAAGCAATGTAAAGCTAAGATGTGAGACAGATTGACATTTGTAAACACAAATAAATAAATATGTACAAAAGAGTCTATGCCAACAACAGATAAGGAATAGCTTTACAATGCAAGAAATGGTGACAAGGATGGCAACTATTTCAAAACTTAAACTAAAACTCTTAACACAATTCAGCTAAAAAAGGTGGAGAAATGAGAAAAAAAAAATAAAGAGTTTGAATTGGTATTCTTCTGGAAGGTGAGTGTAGGTGGCTTTTGGCTCCCCAGTGAGACTGTGGCCCCAAGCTTCTGAGGGGCTGAAGAAAGGTGAGAAAGGAACAGAGGGTGGAATTTGGCTCAGTCTTTTAACTCTATTTGCAAATATTTCTGTGCAGCTATTTCTCCATAGTTTTCCTTACCTGCTCATTGAAAATTTCTAAAGTGGAGCTGAAATTGTTGTCAAATACAAAAATAAAATGTTTTCTCAGATCTGGATGCATATGAGAAGACATCAAAAGCAAAGCTATTTCTGAAGATATATCTTAATCACTATTAACTAACTATGCACCTTGTGCAGAGATCTCACAGTAGAAAGCTAATTAAACTCTATCATGAATGTCTAAGGTTTGGGGGAAGCATATGAATATTCAGTGATGATTTAAGATTAATTTTCATCTATATGTAAATTCTGGCACAATACACAGCCTGTTAATATATGCCTACAGAAAAGGATTTGGCTCTACTGTAGTGAATCTCAGTGACTTAAGGTTTACTGTCTTTTTCTCCTAAATGCCCCTCTCCCCTGTGAAAGCCAGCCTGGACTCAGCTCTTTTCTGCCAAGATGGTGTTCCAGGTTGCTGCAAAATGGAACAGTAGTAACAATTCACCACCAAACTCTCTCATTATCCTTTTGAGCTTGACTAGCTTCATGACTAAAGCTTAGCCAAAGAGGCTCCTTGAGTCTCTGCATAGCCTGCATGTCATCCTACATCTAAGAACAAGGGCTATCTGCTTTCTGTATAGAAGGTAAAGGCCCTAGGGGTTCAGTTCTGGCCTTTTTTTGAGCCAACAGGCTCTGCCCAAACCCCTCCTTTCCTCCTCACTTAACTGCTGCTTCCCTGAACCTGATACCTCTCAGAGAATTCAGAAAGCTGTTAAGACCCAGCTTGCACTGAGGCCTATTGCTAAGAAACTGGATAAGACTCCATAATTTAACAATTAAGCTGTGGTCTCCTCTACCCTCATTACAAGCATGCATTCCTTAGGATGCTTTGAGAGTTAGGTAAGCTGTGTGATATGGCATGGCTTTTATGCATCAGGCTGATCCATAAACACAACACCATCTATCTTGCCAGACCTCCTCAGGCTCTTCTATGTTATCATCAGAGGACTCAGTACAAATAGATTTTAGACTAGCAGTTGTAGATCCACACATTAATAAATTATTTTAATTAATTGAGATATCCACTTGTCTGAGTTTATATTCCTTGGAACAAAATTCTCAGTAGGGGAAGAGAGAGGCCTTCATTTACTTAACTGGAAATATCTTAAAAGTCATTAGAGCAAGGACAGGACCACAACATCTCAAATGTGTGTATCCTAAAAGGACTTGTTACAGTGTGACTAACAGAAAATCTCCTCTACCCCATGAGCCTATGGGCTCAATATACAGTAAAGGGGGAACAGTATCATTGTTAAACAACCACAGGAGGCCCTGTTAATGGAATGTCATCACCAAGCCATACTTAAATGCATGGGATTCAATTATAGTTAATAACGAGGCTTAAGCTTTCTGTCTTGAATGGAACACAGAAATTCACACAGCCTTCTATTAACTTGGATAATATCTTGGGAAAACTTTCTTTCCAGGGTATGTTGTAGTTATGAAAGTTATATATTTGATATAAAAAAATCCCTTTTACTCTTAGGGTCAAATATTAAGCATTTTTTTTCTATTTGTGGTTGAAATTTCATTGAAAAAGAAAAAAAATGCTGATGCATTCACAGAAAGTAGCTCTGGAAGAAATCTGTTGGCATCCAAAACTGTTACAAATATTATTATACTTCTGATTGTTGAGAAAGGTGATATAAAAATGGCTACATCCAGGCCTCACCAGGAGGTTGGTAGATGAATCTAAACTAGAGTTTGTCCTTGGCTTTGTTCCCTCCCCTGTTGTCTAATTTTAGTACCTTCCCCTGAGTTCTGATTAGTTTGATTCAATCATACATTCAAAAAATAATATCTCCCTGGCTTACTGAGTCATATTGCTCTCAGTACTGAAGTTCACTGATTATGGAAAGTCCCCCTTGGAAGAAATATACTGAAATGATGAATTGTAAATTTCACAAAAGCCTTCTTAACAAAGCACACCCCTCATCTGTATGCAGTTACCTAGGTAATAGCACATTTATATCTGCTAGTCATGGTTTACACTGCATGCAGATCTTCACACTTCTGGAAACTGATTTTCCTTTTTCTTATATTAAAGACATTAAAATTTTGTGCTGTGGCTGAAGGTGTCTGACATGATGATGTTTTTATAGAAGTTATCTGAACGAGCACTGCAATAACCCTTGACCTTATCAATGACCTGATGGACAGGGATGATTGATGTTTGTTCTCCATCAGCATGGGTCAGTTTTGACAAGGACTTGTCCATGGAAGCACTGTCTGCAAGAAATGACACGAGAAATTAGGCTTCAAGATAAGCTGGGGACACGCCTTAGGGGCACTATACTGTGCCCTCTGTTTTGCACATCAAGAAGTATACAAAGGAAATAAAGCTTTTTTTTCCCCTTAGATTAGGTAACAGGCAGCACTAAAATTTTGCATTTTTCATCTTCAAAATGCACTCCTAAAATTCACTGAATGTCTATTTGCCTTCTAGTCATTTTTTGTGCTATGGTTTATTATAGGAAAATATTCTTGTAAGTAGCATATTTCAGTCAATGAAAATAATAAAAAACCTCTTCAAAAATGTATGCACCAAATGGCTCAAAAGAAATAATAAATTAGGTAAGAATGAACTAAAATGTTCTGAAATGTTCATGGTAGAAATGTATGATATCTAACATAAAGTTTTCCAAATAATATAGGAAAATGGGCAGGGGAAAATGAGTTGATGGGAACACAGGGGTTCATTATACTATTTTCTCTACCTTTTACATGTCTGACATTCTTCATAATAAAAACTTTTAGAAAATAAAGGATTTTGGAGAATAAAAGTGAATAAAAATAAACATGAAAGTCTGCTTTGAAGACATTTTTCCCATGGCTTTTAGCTTGTGAAATGAATGGAATATAGCAAAAAGGACATCTCTTTATGAATTATTAATTGTAGAAGTCAAAATTCCCTTTATCAGAAGTATTTTAAAACTTTTTTTTTTGTTAACTTGCTACAGTTTCAGCAGCACTATTTCTAGCAGAAAAAAATATCAGAGCAATTGATAATGAGAAAGGACCACTAAATAAACTTGTATTCTGAATTTTTCAGTATTCTGAGTTAAATATTATTTCCCTTGATCCCCAAAATTTCTAAAACTGGCTCAGATAGTGCCCTGAAACTCATATGTAAGATCTATTATCTATATATACATGTGGTTGTTTATTTTTTATTTTTTGTATTCTATGAATGTCATAAGTGCCTACTCTCTTCCCCCTCCTAATACACTTTGGAGGAACATTACCCTTGAATTTACCCAATTACAGAAATTTCATGGTGGATGAAGGATAAACTGTGCTCTTGTACCAACTGTTCCGTTCTCTTTAATCGTATCTTTTCTACACTGTGTGAGAAGTAAAACCTATCCTGAAACACTGCTTTAGGGAATCATACCTCCAAAGCTGCAACAGTCACTTTAGACCTTTTATATTCTGAGTAAGCTGGACTCAGATAGTGACCTGGCATATAAAATCCAAAAACAATTGTTCAAAATTGTCATTAGGATATCTGTTGTCTCTGGAAACTATTCAAATGCTCAACTATTACTTACACTGGACACTAAACAAAAATGGGGGCTAACACAGGAAATGGCACTCTCACCCCACACTAAAGGAAACCAGAGGAAGAAAACATGGTTCATGGAAAGAAGGGGAAGATGGAAGCATGGAAAAGTGGTTGAAGCATGTCCCAGGGCTGGGGAGAGAAAGCCTGGGGGAGTCACAGCACAAGGCCCCGCTCATCTGGCTCTCAGCAAGCTGATTGATTTTGAGCTTTCTTCAAGTTCATGAATTCACTAGCCATTGGTTTTCTGTTGGGAAATTTTTCTATTGACTTAAATCCCAATAATGAATGATTCATGCTTGAATTTTTTAAAGAAAACAACATGTCCTGAGAGAAATGTCAAGAATATACTCCTTTTACTCCCTAGACAACTTCCAGGAGCATGTGATTTAAAGCCAGCTCCACTGCAAGGATATGATCCAATTGTATGGCACTTCACATAAAAGGTGACTTCCAAACAAGGCAAAATTCTAAACAAGGGATGTGCATATAGTGTGTACCTATAAATGCACACAATACTATTAACTATGATATATATGGTTATATATCTATTACTAGTATCTATATATATTATTCTCAGTTTTCTGGTTAGATATTACTTTATGAGTAATACAGACTTGGTTACAACTGTAAATCTGAAAACCAGGGGCTAGAGAAATGAACTCCATTCGACCTATGCTGAAATTCAAGCAGATGAAAATCCTAACAAAGCAGCTTAGAATGGATGACATCTCTTTTATGACTTCTATGAACGTACCATGGCATATCCAGTAACCCACCAGAGCACTGGAGAGTAAAAATGATAAATTTTTTTAAAAATCATATCCTTCTCTCAAATGTTGCTTTTTTGTTATGTTACATAATATGTGACCCACTCATTCCAGAGCATGGTACATTTCCTAGAAGGAGCAGCTTGCACACCGCATGCAGAGAAGAGCTGGCACAGCACGCTGCCATTTGAAATTTCAGAAAATTCCAGCTCAGTGCAGGAATATCATTGTGCTAGCTGAAAAGTATTGTAAAGAACAAGCCATTTTGCTGGTGCAGCAAGAACCTTAGCTTAATCCATGCAAATATTCTCTTATTACCTTGCAAAAAAATCATGCATTCAAAAAGTGATAAAAGTTTACCTGGACGATCCACTTTTGTTGAAGAAATGCTCTTAGGAGGAATTATCTACACCATAAACATATGAATGTTGGGATCAGTTCCAAGAAATAAACCAACTAGATATCCAAGAGGATATGCAGTGACTTCTTGCATACCCTAGTGATTCCCAGAACTGAGAACTGTCCCACAGAGAACTGACTGGGTAACCAAATTTATTATATCATATAAACAATAAACATAAAGTTCATTATATCCTCATGCTAGTGGCCAACAGCCCTTCAGCCCCAAGGGTTTCATTTTGTTTTGGTTTGGTTTGGTTAAGAGAAAGAGAAAAACATGAATGCATTCTTAAAACAATAAAATTTTTAAAAATACCATTTTGAAACAACAGAGTGTGCCATTTCTGCATTTCCTCTAGTATCTTCTAGTCAGTTTTCCCCAGGATCTTACAACAGTCTTTTCCTAATACTTCAAAAATATCTGATATTCCTGAAGACCTACCTTTTCATCTTTTCCCCCTTCTAAGAGAAATTTCTTTAGGCTAGCTATTCTCAGCTGTGGTAAGAGGAAAACAATTTAATTAGTCTAGTGCCTATTCACTCATAACTTATTGACAACATATTAATTATTTTCATTTTAGAAAGAGAAGGAAATTGATCTGGGGTTGGTGTCACACACCTGTAACCCCAGTGGTTAGGGAGGCTGAGGCAGCAGGATTGTGAGTTTAAAGCCAGCCTCAGAAACTTAGTGAGGCACTTAACAACTCACAGAGACCCCGTCTCTAAGTAAAATATTAAAAAAGGGCTAGGGATATGGCTCAGTGTTTAAGCACCCCTGGGTTCACTTCTCAGTACCAAACAAACAAACAAACAACAACAACAACAACAAAAAAAAAAAAACACAGGAAATGAAGTGTTTACTTTTAAGTTTGATTAAATAAAATAAAAATAAATTTAAAATGTTCATAATAAGTAAAAGATTTTGTTCCAGGGAACTACCAAGCAGGAAGAATAATCTAAAGCTGTACACCTGTCGTCAATTTCCTCACACAGGTATTCTCAAGTAAGGGTGAACAGGCCTCTTAATTTTACACAAAAATGTGCATGTGACAAAAAGCTGGGCAGGGTGGCACACACTTGTAATGCCAGTGGCTCAAGAAGCTAAGGCAGGAGGATCACAAATTCAAAGCCAACCTCAGCAACTTAGTAAGGAACTAAGCAATTTAGCGAGACTCTGCTTCAAAATAAAAATAAGTGGGCTGGAGATGTGGCTCAGTGATTAAGCACCCCTGGGTTCAATCTCTGGTATAAAGCCTGCACTTTATTCAGAAAGAGAATCCATAGCTTTCATTTAATTCCCCACAAATGTCTTGCCAAGAAACTTTAAGAACTGCTGTTCTAAGTTGCTCTGAGTTTATAGATCTTTCTTTAATTTTGGAATAAAAAAAAAAAAACAAAAAAAAAACTTTGAACATTCAAACCTCCTCCACAGTAGTACCATAATTCCCAGCAGGGGCCACACCAGTGGCAAGACAGGGAAGGTGGTACAAGGAGGGACTGTGTAACGACTTGGGCCACCTGTCATCCAAGTATTCCTAGTATGAACAATTACAGGCACATCACCTGGCTTTTGCCCTCTGTGCAAAAAGTTGAATATCAATCTTTTCTGTTCCATTCACCTCTGTTTATAGGTAATTGTTAAACAAATTAGAAAATTTAAAAGCTATTTCCATTTGTCCTTTCAGAAGTAGCTTTAATTAGGAAGTAGTGTTTGCTCAGTGTCAAGAGCTGTCTGCGAACAGATTCGATTGGTCTTTAAAAGTAGCAATTCTATTATTTCCCTTTAAAGTTATTAGAAGATGACAGCTCCTCGTGCTACTAAGTGACCATCAAGTACCACAAAATATTATTTCCACGGTGTCATGAGGATCACCCACAGACATGCTCAGTGACAGAGTCTGTGGCTGCCGTGAATATGATGAAAAGGCAAGACATGAAGAAAGCCTCACGCTTCTTACAGTCCTGTCACCTTCCCAGTACTGCCCTCTGCTCTTTCCTATTTCATCAGTGACCTAAGGAACAGTTGCCAACAAGGCTTCCAATGCTTAAGGATTTAAGTTGTAAATAAAACACATCCTAGACGGCCCTTCTTCCTACTCCCACGCCACCCTGTCAGGTACTTTCACCCCGTCCTAAAATATTCTGCAATAATTTCTTCATTTTAAAAATAAAAAATGCTAACTTTCTAAACAAAATATTCTAATTTTTAAAGAAAACTAAGTTTCCAATCAAATGATAAAGTTATGATACTGCTCGGTTCATCATATGGTTTGCAGGAATAGATGGATTATAAAATTTTAAAGAGAATAAAATATTCATAAAGTTGCTGGAGAAGATCTTCAGATAGATTTTATATTCGTAAATCTAACATAAGCACTCCATCAGGCACTGTGATGCATCAAACTTCGGGATGAGCTGATTCTGCCATGGAAATGTAACATGAGAACTGGACCAGAAAAGATCTTTATGATGCCAGAAGACTCACCGGTGTGGCTGTTCCTTTTGAAATAGGTGGTAGAGCTGGATTTAGATTTGGATGTAAGATAGGTTGAGTTAGAACCAATGGAACTTGAAGACAAAGATTTTCCTAGATTGTCAGAGCTTTTCTTGATGATATTGGTAGCTGTCTTGCTCCAATCTGAGAGAAATGACATCATTCTATCAATCTCCTTTATAAGGAATATAATATGCTGTGTCCTAAAAAAATTATCAGTGCATTGCTTTGCCCATCTGGAGCATCTGATTTTCTGACATGCCAACAATAGCTAGAGTAAGTTCTGAAAAGGACTGAGGATGTTGCTCAGTGGTTAAGCATTCCTGGGTCCAATCCCTGGTACCAAAACTAACTAAATAAAAATAAACAACAATAATAAACTGAAGAAACTGAAATTTCCTACTTTGAACCTGTGTAAATATTATTTAAAATCTTGCATCAATATCCTAGGGTGAGAAGTAACCACAGTAATTAAAAAAAATAAACCTTTTCTTCAAATGTTTTTAAATTGAGATATAATCTCTTCACCTAAAAATGTAATTCAGAACTTCAAAAGTGGAAAGGAGGGTCTGGTGTAGTGGATAATCTGAGCTGTCAAATTAGACATTAAATCTTATGTAAATCATTTAAGCTGCCTGGAATTCATGCTTCTCTGCAGGTAGAAGGGATGTATCCAGTGCTCTCAGATCCCCTCCAGCCCCAATATTCCAAGATTCTAGCTAAGAATCTTCACATGCTCCACTTCTACAATCTGCTCCCACTGGATCTGGGCTGCTTTGACAACAGAAAATGACTGACAAGTGTTTCCAGTTAATCTTAGATAAATACGTAATGACAAACCTGCCCCTTTACCTGAATTATCTGCTAATCGGAATCGGCCACAACAGAGATGTCGTCTCCACTGCTTCTGGACATTCTCCTTCATTGCACAGTGGAAGATAAAAATAAATAATCCTGTGACAATAGAAAATACAAACACTGAGGCCAACTGACACATTTTAAAAGATGAATCTTATAAAATATGTGTATTTGTTTTAATTTAAAGTTTTTGTATCTACGTTACTAAGGAACAAAGATCCAAGGAAAGGAATCTCAAGAGTGCTTAGTAGATATTTTAATCCTATAGAAAAGAACACAATGGCTCAAATAAAACCAGAATCACTGCATGGATCTGATTTCTGTCTTTGCCTGTTCTGTTCCATATTCATTACGACTTACCTAAAAACCAAGCTGAAACAAGCTACATTCAACTTAAAAGCATTTGCTATTTCCTTTATTTCTGTCTTAAAAGCATGTGAAAACTGTTCATAGAATTTAAAAAAAAAAAAGAGAGAGAGAAAACAGAAATCACCCGTAAACTTATTGTCTGTTTCAATTTGTCTATCTTGAGCTGTTTTACATAGGTAGATTATTATAGCTATAATCAGAATATTAGGTTGGGCTTTAGAAAAATGGTTATTTCTACATGTTGTTCAAACACACCTCAAACCAGAAAAATCCTGTGACTCCACTTGGCCCATTTCAGATTTTCAACATTTTAACACAGAAACACCTCCTTATTGGGCAATAGTCTTCATATTTACAGCCACTCCCTGGGTCTATCAAACACTGTGTCACTTGTGCTTTGCAAGCCAACCCCCTTTAACCTTCTCCTTGCAGCCTCAGTTTCCCCTATTTTCTATATGAGTCGTCCCTATCACCTAATAAGCACAATCTAGTAGCTCTTTAAAAAAAACATAAAAAATTTTCCCTTAATCTCTAATCTTCTTTCAGCTTCAACTTCATTTTTTTCTGCAGTAAAACTTCTTTAAGTGGTTATTACCTTGTACTGCCTCCACTTCCTTCCCACCTCCTCCTCCAAGCCTACTCCCCACAGGCTGCCATCACACCCTATGCCCTGTGACTGTTCCGAGCAGGGGGGTGTCAGCTCCCACACTGCATACTCTATTCCTGTGGCGTCTTAACAAGCCTTCGGAAGCAGCCAAACAATGGGAGAGTCCTTTGTTCTCAATGCCAATTTCTCCAAGTTTTATGGGAATTCCTTCTCTACTGCCTTAGAAGATTATTCTCCTTTACTCCTTAAAGATAACACAATTTTGTGACTAGGTCCTGGTTCTCCATCTCTCCTGGGGTTCCAGTGTTGCATAAGAGAGTGAACTTCTAAACTACAAGAACCACATCTCTAAGGCTCAAGATTGATTTTTATGCTTGGTTCCACTTGCTTCTCTCCCCATACACCACCAGGATTCCAATGACATTGCTTCTAGGACATCTTTATCTGGCTGTATCTCAAACCCCAGATGTTGTGAACTGAAGGTTCCTCCACATGACCCTCAAACCACTCTCACCACCTTCTGTTTCTCAGTGTAGCAGGTTCATTCCTGCCCAATATAGTGCTGAACACTGTCTTCAGCTCTCTCAAAAGCTGTTTCCTACTTCTCATTCAGGTCTTGGATCAACTGACGACTGTTGATAAATGTTTCCATTTAACCTCTTCTCGCCTCCTTTCACATACCTATTTTCTTTTGAGCACTGAATAGGGCTCGGTAGTCTTATAGCCCTCATATATTTTTTTTTTTGCTTGATTGTTGTTTCCTATTAGAATATAATAAGCTCCAAGAGAACAGAGATATTTGTCTATTCAACACTAGGCTGCCTATTCCCAGGACGATGTCAGGCACTATGCAGCAACCCAAAGAATGATCACTGAATGAATAAACCATGGCAGCCATAATTTAACAATCATCAAGTCTACATGAGCAGATTCCAATTTTACATGTGTTTGAAGGTGGGAGAGCACTAAAAGTAGGACTGAGCAGTGCACAGAATAGGGGCTGATGGAAATACAATGAAAATAGATTGAAGATTAATGTTTCTGGAAAGCCCATCAATTGAGTTGCTGAGGTTCTGCCCTAATAATCTGCCACATATCCACATGGGGAGAGCTCTCTAGGGGGTCTGGGGCTTGAACTGAACTTTTGAGTAGGGAGGTGAAGAAAGTTTCCAAGAAGGGTTATTCATTCAGTGACTAATTATACAGCTCTGCTAAGTAGGAAGCACTGTGTTTTAGGAATTGGAGGGTCAATCATGAACAAGGTCAACAATCCTAGTATTCATGGAGTCAAGGGTCTAGCATGGAATGGCATACAAGTAAAAAATACTGAAGCTCTTTCACTGGATAATTTAAATTTACCTGTTCCTTTTGACTATGAAGAAATCTCAAAATGACATTGTACTTGTATAAGTGAAAAAGTGGGACAAAGTATTCATGTATATCTCTTTTGATATCTACAGTTAAATTTGCAAAATAGGTCCAAGGTTACACTTCCATGGTTTATTTTTTTTAATATCTTAACTCAAAATGGCCCAAAGTTTTATTTTAGAAGAAATTACATTAATATGAAGAGGCGAGTTGCTAGATTTCTACACGATGGGCCCTGCACACAGTGAAATGGCTCTGGTGGATTATCCTCTCGATTAGCTTCTCTTTGGCCATCGATGATCCCTGGTACAGTGCCTGGCACTTATGAGGTACTGGTTACAAAGTCTTACTGAAATTACTGAAGTATGATTAACTTTTGCTTTGAAGAGAAATGTTACTATGAAAATGCTCACTATATTTTTTTCACTGATTTCAAATATATAAATAGCCCTTCACAAAATTACTGGGAGGTTCCAAGCAAATTTATCTCCAAGAGGTATAATTAAGGCATTCAGTGACTAAAGTGAAATAATACTGTCATGATTTTTATTATTATTACTATCATTTTATATGTAGCCATATATATATATATATAATTTGTGAAACTACTGTTTTTTTTTATTTTGTTATTTATATATAGCTATGTAAATATATATTATGTCATTTTCTTTATTGGTAATAAGGTAATTAGTGAAGGAACTATATCCTAGCAACCTATTTCTTTTGTCTGAAATGTTATCTCAGGGTAGGGAAGTTCTAATTTAACAAAAGGAAAACTCTATAATAAACATGAAACAAATTTCAGTTGTTCAGAAAGCCAGCAAACAGGCCAGGCCCTTCCTGAAGCTCCCTGTGCTGCCGTTGGGAGGAAGAGCTCTCAGGAGGCACCTGCTTGCATGCCGGCCTGGCCTACGTAAGTGCAGAAGTCTCAGAGTAAGGAACGATTTTCTTCCACAGACAGACAGCTTCAGAAGCAGGCTACTGGGGCTGTCCTCTCTGGAACAAGGGCAAAGACACCACTGGCCCAACCTCATCTTTACACTCCAGATGGCTGAATCTGACTGTTTTTCAACAGCTTCCCATATAGCTACCAAATTTCCTAACCAGTTTGCTATTGCAGAAAATTATTTTAATAAGCAAACGTACTTTGTCTGACCAATAGTGTAATAAAGCAAAAGTGTATAAATAACTTGAGCAGGTTAATAGATCCTTTTAGGTTGTCAAGAGCTGGTGGAAGTTATGGAGTGAAAGTGGAGGAAGAGGAAGCCTAAGGGAAAGTCAATAAAGGCTGTTGGTAGAGGAGGCTCCAGGGCCACTTATTATGGTTTAGCTTCCACCCATATCAGAGAAAACATTTCACCTTTGGTGTTTTGGATTGGCTTATTTCACTTAGCATGATAGTCTCCAGATCCATCCATTTAGCAGCAAGTGCCATAATGTCATTCTTCTTTATGGCTGAGTAATACTCTACTGTGTACATACACCATTCATTTGTTGAAGGATGCCCAGGTTGGCTCCATAGCTTAGCTATTGTTGAATGTGCTGCTATAAATATTGATGTGGCTGTGTTACTGAAGTATGCCGATTTTAAATCCTTTGAATATATACTGAGGAGGGGAATTACTAGGTCAAATGGTGGTTCCATTCCTAGATTTTTGAGCAATCTCTATACAGCTTTCCAAAGTGGCTACATCAATTTGCAATCCCACAAATAATGTCTAAGTGTACCTTTGCCCCCCATCCTGGCCAGCATTTATTGTTACATATATTCGTGATAATTACCATTCTGACTAGAGTGAGATGAACTCTCAATGTAGTTTTGATTTGCATTATCCAGCTCATATATATGGGAGGAAAAAAACTTCTGAGGTTGTTTGTGTCTGGTGTTTTGAGGACACTGGAAGAAACCTACATCACAGAATTGCCTTTCTAGCCTTGCTGGGAGCTAAAGCATGAATTACTCTGAGATTCAAATGCTAACCCCAGTCAGAAATTATGAGGTTAAAAGTAAAATAAACTGACTTAACAAAACATTTTTTTAGGTTATGTAATGCTGCTCTAAATCACAATTACATAATATGAGATGACATTGAATATTTTTAAGCAACCACAATTGCTTGTAAATATACAGGCACCAAAATGTTTCAGAGATAATGGTATGTAAATTAGATTAAAAATCTGAAACAGCTCCTCTAAGATTATGTAACAGAGAGAGTTCGCATAAAAGCTCCATATTTCACTAGGAATTGTGATGCTATGGATAAAATTGGGTAACAAGCATGAGAAGTTAGAATTCTTAGAAATGAATACATTTAAAATCCTAAGGTACTACATTTATTATATAAATAGGGCGAATTCTTTAGCCTTGAGATACATTTCCATTTTAAATCAGAGTAAAATTCACCAAAAAGGTTATCTTACTATCTGTAGCAGTGAGCCCTTTCAACATCGATTTAAGTTAGTCTGGCAATAAATATTATAACAGAATTCCTTCTACTCTCTTCAGAGATCAACAATGGAAAATATGCTGATAGGCAGATAAACTGGATGCCTTTCTTCAGGGAGGAATGGCAGACAAGAAGAGAGAATGGATGAAGGAGGGCTATCCCCTCTTAAATCCTAAGGTTTCCCCATCTCCTTATAGATTGTGGTGTCTGAAGCAGAACTAAAGTCATGAAACTCTATAATAGAGTTCCATGGGAATCTCACTTTTCATTCTTGTCTCTGTTCTATCAATTTTTGCCCATTTGAA